GCATAAGACAATTTCTCCTACCCAACTCAGACACAGAAGTAAGGCAGTCCCACATGAGCCTAGAGTTGAATTCGTAAGAGTTTAGTGCTTTTAAGGTTGCTTGACTATCAGTATAGATATTTATTGTTTTGTCTCTGATCTCTTTATTAAGATGTTCTCAAGCACAAACCAAGATGGCCGGGACATCCGCTTGAAAAACAGTTGGGTACACCCCCATGGGAAGACAAATGCCAGTGCCTTCATTTATCCAATGCACTCCTGCTCCAGTACCCCCATTTTTGATCTTAGAACCACCAGTGTAGCATTCTAAATCACCTGTGGGGATGGGCCCTTTTCCCCCAGACCAATCCTTCCTATCTGGTATTAGTACTTTGAAAGGCTTTCCAAAGGAGTATTTTTGGACATGTCATCTGAAGGCAGGCCCAACTCATCATTGTGTACCACCTGAACAATTTTGGAGTGCCCTTTATTGTTTCCTGTGGGTATCCATAAGTTTTCGCATCTAAGGTGTAGGGCTGTTTTTCTTGCTACCACCTTGATGAAAATGTTGATGAGTAGCATATCAAGCAGACAATCTAGAGCTGCTCCAGGACAGCTACTTACTGCCCCAGTTATCATTATAAGAGCAAGCCTCTGAACTCCTGATAAAGCTTTGACAGCTGCAGTAGATCCCATCTTCGGCCACCACACAAACTTCTCTAGTACCTACATAAATAATTTTCTACTGCTGCAAATAGGGATATATTGACAAATTTGCATTTTTCAGAACCTCCTGAAACCAAAGGTATACAACTCATTGTGTTTTAATCAATAAATCCAGTATCATACATCACATCTTAAAACAGTTTTAGTATAATCCTGCAAAGTGCAAAGAACGGGGAAAGTGAAGGCTACCGTCGTATTCCGACTGACTTCGGGCTTCTCCACCACGCCACGATTCGACGGACCGAGCGAGTGAGGGCTTCGGGCATCTCCGTCACCACTCGGGGGACCCGAACAAGCCAGCGGCGTCTTTCATACGCCTTGGCTGAGACCGCATAGGGTTTGTAATTACGCGACCCGCGTGTCCATTTGAGTTCAAATTTGCGGCATTGTATTTAAATAGCAAAGCTCTTTAATTTGATGCTCACATGGGCGTACCCAGAGAGGGGGGGGGGGGCAGTTGCCACCCCCTAGAAGCAAGGATAAGGTATAAAAATTGAGATTCTAGAAAAATGTTATTTGTATGAGAAAAGATGAGTAAGATAGTTTACAGATTTTTATGACATTTTTTGGCACATTTCATCAACTTTTCATTAGTTTCTGATTTATTCTTCAATAAAATAAAAATTGCAACAGTAGTAAAAAACAGACCAATTTCTTGCAATATTAATAAACTAACTTTGCGTACTGTAATACATAATGAATTAATATAAACCTATTTTTTGTGACATTATTTTGTTTTTATTTGCCTTCAAAAATAATTTAACAAATAAAATTGTTCTTATGGGTTACGGCATACGTTATCAGGCACTCTTCAAAATAGTTTACCATATATTTCGGGTGTTATAAATGGATGTGAAAAGTTAGCATGGACACAAAAAATACAGTTAAATGTGTATTGTAAAGCCAAGCAACCTGACCTGACCCCATTGACGGACATAAATCCATTTTATAAACTAAGACTTTATAAACGCTGGATTATAGAGCTAGGTTTGTTATATTAATGTCTCCCAATAGCATAAAAAACGCTAATTTCAGTATTGTTTTTAGAATTTCCCCTGGGGTGAACTCCCAAACCCCACTCCAGACTGGGGGGTATAGCCCCAGCGACCCCTGTTTCAAGAACACTCTTGCCCACAACTAGTTTTGATCCTGGGTACGCCCTTGGATGTTCATATAAACCTATGCTTCCATTTAAGATGCTCTCTGTATACATAAACTAAATTACCATAAAACTACTCAACAATATTTGAACAGCATTAAAATTTACACACCATACACGATCATAATTTAAATCTGTAGTTAAACCAAGTGAAGTGTTTTTAAAATCACATTGGATATAAAGGGGGGGGGGGGGGGGTAGGAACAGGTAAAACTAAATCATGTCCAGTCCAACCTTTATTCAAATGCATTATTTAACTGGGATTTTGTGGTTTTAAACCTAGTTATCCTCAAAAAGTTGTTTTGGACTTTGGCCTTGCTTGTACAAGACAACTCTAACTGATAATGATCAGTTTTATCAGCACTGAAATATTTTCTAGGACTTTCTTACATTATATGTTATTACATTTTCTGTTTAATATACAATATATGTTGCAGACTAACTTCGGCTCAAAAGTTTGGGTGTTTTGCAATTATTATTTTTATAAATAGCTTTTATTTAGCGAAATCAGGTAACTTATTTAGAGGTAAATTATTTCAACTTGTTGGTATTGTACTGATTGAGTTGTATGTTTTTTAGTTAAAAATAGAACTGTTACTGCTTATTTAGTGCCCAGTCCTTACTGGGTTAAAAAGACTGTCTCATTTATACTTAATTCATAATTCATAACAAGCAAAAAAGCAAACACATTTAAAATAATTATAATTTTTCTAGCTTCTAGAACTTCTGGCTTATAATCTTGTGCCAGTATGCAGTGGCATATTATAATTTGTTTATACATCCCTATATATAATACGTGAAGGCGATTTCTACGAAACACTACCTACTCCTCCGTTAATAATGGACGGATTTTCACAAACGACATGTCAAAATAAAGTATTTTTTGTCTAGACGCCCCCTTTCACCAATTCATGTAATAAAAATCCTCAGGCTTTGCCCCACAGGACATCAAAGTTGGAGTTTCTCCCATAAGATTAACATGGGTGAATCTAAATATTTAATTGGAAACTTTGTCCCCAATAATTTGAGAGAACGGCTGGACGTAGAAACTTGATAGAGGTGTCCAAAGAAAGGTCTTGGTCTGTAGATGAGTTATCAAAAGAAAAACTAAGCAAAATCCCTTAGGATTCTGCCCCAGAAGCCTTTAAAGATCCCTCCTCAGAGTTGTTTACATTTTGGCCATATGAATAACTTAATACTTTTTAATGAAACAGCTGTTAATTTTTAAATTGTATTTCAAACAACACATATTTATTGGAAGTTACTGAATTCTACCAAATAAGTATTTGCAATGTTATTTTCTGATTTTCAAATTGATTTTCTTCTTTATCATGTCATGTTTTGCAATATAATGTTCCATTACGAAATCAGTGGAAAACCCTTTTACGGTATCACAGCAATTCATAAATTATTTCTTATTGAACTAGCTTATATCAATTGTACGGGTTGGTGTCTGCCTTTTTCACCACTTTTGCCTACATTTTATCATACACATATCAAATATTTATGTAGAAATATCCGCTCTTATCGTGTCTAATAAAATCCAATTATAGAAACCTTGCCTAAAATGGTACCCATCTTGACAAATTATTTGCACCTGCCTATATTACGGACTTTGGCGCACTGGGTTGGTAACATTATTGAAAATAACACGACATTTTGGCTGTAAAATATGGTACAAAGAGAAAATACTATTTAAACAGCTACTGTCATGACAGAAAGGTCATATTCCTTTTAAACTAGATCACATAATCCTTTATAAGATACGTTTGATTAACAATATGTAAACGTCAATATATACGTAACAGCCAATTTACAGTATTTTTGCTTTTTGGAAATGTGTCATTGCTATGTCATTTGCATTATTTGTTGCCAATGAAGCCGCCAAGACCATATGAACTAGGAGGCCCCTAACAGTTCAAGAATAAAAGCCAACTTCAAGTATTCCACTACACCTAACATTCCGTAGAGAGATTATATTGACAACTTTATGTTATTGATAAGGCTGAGACAAATAACTGACATCCCCATGTGAAGGAATTCCAGCTTTAACAGTAACCCCACAATCAATTTCTCAAAACCATGAGAGGGTTCATTCATTGGCACAGAAGTACGATATGAACTGACGCGACGTGACGAAGGAAAAATCAAACTTACACTTTAACGGATATACCTCCCTTTGAAGTTACAATATGTCTTCTCTAAGGATATTTTCTTTCCAAATTAAATCATATTACACTGATGAAATCACAAAAGTGTTTAACTACAAAAGATCCACCAATACGATTTTAATAGTATTTAAAGGTTCTTCCAAAGGAAGAGATACCATATAACATACTAATAATAACTCCAATGACGTACAGTATAGGAAATATTTTAATCATTGAATGATCAACCAAACTTTTGGCAACTAACGCAATTAATATAATTATTGTTTTTACACTTATTACTCTTCAAACAATGCTAAAGGCTCAAAATATGTATATTTCACCCAACTTATCGCAGTTAGATGAGTTAACGTAAGCCTTGAAAGTAACCGTCGATTTCGACGGGTTTCACCTAGTTTAATATATTGTTGGAAAGTATGGAATAAATTTATGAGGCACTGAGAGAGAAGGCAAACAATTAGGTTGTAAACCTAAATGAGAAGTTAATTGAATTGAAAGCATTTTTCTCAGCCTCCTAGGTTCAATGCCAGCACCAGAGGTTATTCTGATTTCTCAAACCCATACTCACTCAGTGAAAGGAGAAAGAAGTAAAGGCTAGAGTGTAATCGCCATGGTTGTAGGACATAAACCATTTAGTTTGTCAGGCATAATGGCAATGAAGGTGGGGGATTTTATTGAATATTAATATTTTCATGTTGGCAGCTTTTTAAAAATGCTCAGATAGGCTATTGAGAGGTATCCTTCAATCTTATTTTGTCTATGAGCCGGCATTTAAGAATCATTCGGGTTACGGTATGGCATTGAGCCCTTGCCGATAAACAAGGCTTGTTGTACCACTACAGAAAATGTTAATGCAATAGCCTAATTTTCACAACCTATACATTTGAAAAAAATTAAATTAACTTAACAAATTTATTAAATTAGGTACGGTATTACGAGGCAATAAACTGGTAACAGATTGTTTGCAGTGATGGGCAGTCGAAGAACACCTTACACAGTGACTCGCTCTATTTCTCCTACCACTTGCTGTTGCCTTCATCTCAGATTTCTGCAGACTGTGCCAGGGACGCTCAAGCTGGCTCAACTGGTAAGTGCCGTTTATAAAATTCTAGGATAGAAAATTACAATTTTTCAGTACTGTTGTTGATGATATAGGTATAAAAAACAGAACTAGAAAACATAAAGCACATCTTCAAACTGTAATTACATATATATTTTTTTGAGGCCCTAAAGAGCCATTCTCAAAGAACCAGCCATAAAAACCTTGTGTATGTATTATTCCTGCCATAAAAACCTATTCGGACAATTTAAGTTGCTGAATGGAAAATTTAATATCAGAAGTTTAAAAAAGAATAAAGATAAGTTTCATCATAGACTAACCAACACAAATAGACTTCTCATCCCATTGTAAATTTTGAAGCACGTTTTTCGTGTCTAGTTCATGTACGTGGCACATGGGCGCTAGTGTCGACGAAACTTTGTTTCTATTATTTTAGGGTTAATTTCTTGATTTGTGCTTTACTGTTTGGTTATATAACTCAGAGACAGGTTATTGCTTACGATTAGATCGTATTATTTGGTTAAACGAGGTTTTAAATGGCTGTAATAACGGGAAATAAATTGTAAACAAATCACGACCTCTACAGAAAACCGTACAGAACTAACAATAAAATTGTCTTCAGCTGTTCCATAAGGATGAGAAATCTACTAGGGGAGTATGTTTTATCTATGGTTTCATATAACTGCCTACAATACAATACACCATAACAATACCCCCGCCGCAGCAAACCTGCCGACTAAGCGAATTTCCAGTTGCCTGAATTGATTTTCAATTAAATGTAGGCCTATTTAATTAACATTAGATTTATGAGTAAATAGGCTTGCTGCTGCAGGGAGGGTTAAAAGGGTGTTTTTAGTAAAATATTAATAAATTAGTATAAAATAAAAAAATTAAAAAAGTTTTATCAAAAAAGCAAATGATAAAGTTTTGTTAGTGTAAGCAGTGCGAGACATGTTTTCTACTGTAAACATAGCTAAAATAAGTCACTCTAATATCATTCTAAAAATAACACAAGACTTAATACCCCTGCCGCAGCAAACCTGCAGACTAAGCAAATTTCAACTTGTCTGATTACATTTTTACTTTCTCCCCCTATATCATAGTAAATGGAGAAAGTATTGTTTTTGTCAAAATTTTCGAGTTTGAGTTTTGAGTGGATATATTCGTTTTGGGTCCCCCTGGACCCAAAAAAGTGGTTTTCGAAGTGATGTCTGTGTGTGTGTGTGTGTCTGTGTCTGGATGTGTACAGAGCTAGAGACTGCACCTGTGGTCCAATTTTGATGAAATTTGGTACATATGTAGGTTCTAATCCATGGTATCTCCAGGCGTTTTTTTTCATTTTTTTAAAATTATGATTTTTAATGGGGATTTTCCCATAAAAACCGGAAAAATCAGATTTTCTCAAAAAATGGCCCGAACGATTTTGATAAAAATTTAGTATGTTGTAGCCCTTTAAATTCTGAACGAAATGGTACAAATCCCATTTCTGTAAAAATTACGGTTCAAAAGTTATGGTAAATTATTTTATTTTCCCATAAAATAACAAAAAATAGGATTTTAGACAAAAATCCGATTTTGATTTAACATAGTATTATATGGTCCTTAAAATTTTGATATTTTTTTTAATTTTTTAGAATTTTTTTTTAGTGGGGATTTTCCCATAAAACCCCATAAAATAACGGAAAAATAGGATTTTCCCAAAAATGGCCCGAACGATTTTGATAAAAATTTAGTATGTTATAGTCCTTTATATTCTGAACAAAATGGTACAAATCCCATTTCTGTAAAAATTACGGTTCAAAAGTTATTGTAAATTATGTTATTTTCCCATAAAAACCCCATAAAATAACGGACAAATCAGATTTTTCCAAAATTGGCTCGAACAATTTTGATAAAAATTTAGTATGTTACAGTCCTTTAAATTCTGAACAAAATTGTTCAAATCCCATTTCCGTATATTTACTTTCACCGCTTACACATGATGAAGGTTGTTGACAAACTTATGGGAGAAAGTATGTGTAAAGCCCCGTTTCCATCAAACATTTTCTGCTCAAAACTTTGTTGTCAGCTAAACTCACAACAAAGTTGGAGTAAAATGTTGAATGGAAACACTAGCATAATGTTTTGAGCAGTGTTGGCCAACAAAAAGTGTTGGCAGCCGTTGCAGCTGACAACATTGTTGTGAGCTGTGCTCAAAAGGTAATGGAAACGGTGTCCAGCTGCCAACATTGCTGTGAGCAGAACTCGCGCATGCGCACTTGCTCTGTGAGTAGTTCCAACACATCCACCGCAGCACCATAGCACCTCTAGCCTAGCAGACGGGTTAAACACCAACAACACCACGTGTTTTTGTTTATGGTGTAAACATTCTTGTGTCGTGGTCGTGTCGGTGTATCTTGTTGTGCTGGGCTTTTGGACGGTATAGTGAGGCCATGGCGATGTCAAGTCAAGATTGGGGAAAAGACGAAGTGTTAAAGTTGATATCTTTGTATGAAAGTGAGACAGTGTTGTGGGATCAGCAAGCACAAAAACTCTAATAAAAGGAGTGATGCCATCCAAGTATCTTAATGTAGCTGCTAACATTTCGCCAGCTGATATGGGACTGCGCTCACCATGTTTAGCGATTAGAGGAGCCACCAAGTTTAGTAATTCTTCAAAGTCAGTTGCCGTAATTCGTACAAAATTTTGGGATCCTGCTCGAAGTCTTAAATCCCTCATAAGGGAGTTGTAGGCACCTTCAACGGCCCTTTTAGCCAAAAAACTCCTAACCTACCATCGCGGTCGCTTTCTGCGTTTTAAACTAATTAATTGGTGATATGCACCAGCCATTACGACGAAAGCAGCAGCAGCAGTCTCTTCGCTCTCCATGATGAAGGTGCACTGGTGTTGGTGTAGGTAGGTGTGTGGGTGTGGATGGTAGTGAAATGTGCTCGCAGTAGGAGGAGGGGTTGGCGGGAAATGTTGGCGCAAAATGTTGGCGCGTACTGCTGGAATGGAAACAGCGCGCCAACATTGTTGGGAGCTGTGCTCAAATCAACTTGAACTTAGCTCCCAACATTGTTGGTACAAAATGTTTGATGGAAACGGGGCTTCAGAATGCTGATACCGTTTATTTACTACAATATTTCCATAAATAAGACATATTTATTCCCAATTTAAATAACATTAGATTTAATGAGTGTTTAGGTTTGCTGCTACGGGGAAGGTAAAAAGTGTTTTTTGACCATACGTCAATGGTATAGGATGAAATAAATAAATTTGCCAAATTTTATCAATATATGTCCATAAACAAGTAAACTACAACAGTTTTCATATTCTCCATAAGAATATCATGGGAATTTTAAATTACACTATTTTTGAATTTTCTCCGTGACTGTTAGGCAAACAACAGCGCTTCAATATACTACATTATTTCTTTTTTTAAGCTCTACAAAACGGTTTAAAAAGAAATTCAATTTTTTTTTGTTTTTAGGGTCAAAAATGGGAAAACCCCATTTTTATCCCATAAAACCCCCCATAAACCCCTGTTCCCATGGTCCGATTATAATGGTTCGCAAACTCGTTAGAATAAACGTAGGTTTACACGTTTGTACCAAATTTCATCAAAATCGGATGATTTTTGCTCGAGTTATCACGCTAACGGACACATATATAAATATACAGGGTGATTGATTTAAGTGTGCCAGCCGTTTTATTCGAAAACCATAAGAGATATCAAAAAAAGTTAAAAGGTAAGTGCCTTGGACTTTTTATTTAAAAAATTGTAGTAAAGCCAAAAAAATTATTTTAGCCGCCATTTTTCCAATTTGGCCGCCAACTTTGATTTTTCGTATGGAATACCCTGTATTTTATGATGTATTCTGGTAGAAAATGTAATTTTAAGACGATTTTATTCTTGTGATTTTTTCATAAACCTAACCCTTTCAAAGATAATCTTTACTTATTTAATACGCAAGCAGGTTTTTTTGTGACAATTACTCCTCCGAAACTACTGAACCGATTGACATGTTTCTGGTGTCATTGGAAAGAGCAAAACGTGAAGTTGTGCAGGAAACTTTCTTTTTAGGGAAATAATCAGAGAGTGAGGCCCTGAGGCCCTTTAAAGTTTCTTTCTCAATAAGATTAACATGGGAACACATTGTTATGTAACTCCAGCTGTTGTCAGAAATTAAAAGTGAGAAGAACATGTTAATTGTAAACAGTCAATAAGTTTGCTAATTTAACAGTTTGCTACATTTACTGAATTGGTTGAAATGAAATATTTACTATTTGAATTCGGGTTGGCGTAAATATTACAATGGAAAAAAGCCAGAGAGCCTGGATAAATTGATATAATCTGTTATGTACATCTTGAGTATTACCATAATCTTTCAAGTCGAATCATGAGAAATTATGACTGTTATTCGTTTTAAAATAACACCTGTCATACTTAGCAATTGCTCGAATTCGAGCAACAGGGACACTAGTAATGGTTTAAGTTGTGAAATTTTGAATGGTTTTCGAATAAAACAGCTGGCATGCTTGCTTAAGCCTTTGTGGAAACTCTTTCTCATGCAGAAATTTCAAAACTTTGACCATTATTATCTTTGAAACGGTTAGGTTTATTAAAAAAATTACAAGAATAAAATCGTCTTAAAATTACATTTTCTACCAGTATATATCATAAAATACAGGGTGTTCCATAAGAAAAATCAAAGTTGGCGGCCATATTGGAAAAAATGGCGGCTAAAATAATTTTTTCGACTTTACTACAATTTTTTAAATAAAAAGTCCAAGGCACTTACCATATAACTTTTTTTGATATCTCTTATGGTTTTCGAATAAAACGGCTGGCACACTTATATCAATCACCCTGTATATATATATATATATGAATTTGAACGGATGGTGTTTTTGGCCTCTAGGGACCTCAAAACGAAAACTTAAATCGGTCCTGGGTCCAGGTCTTACCATGAGTACTACAGTAATAGCTTATTCCCTATAAGGGAAATTCGCTAAAAATTGTGACTTGATACTTAACTAAGTTTAGTAATACTGTACTGTTGTTTTAGACTTATAAATTTTAACATTTTGTAAAGTTGAACTATATACTAACTGATATCTCCATGTTTCCTATGCCGAAGAGTTATTTTTAATAAGTTAGGCCTTAATTTTTTTTATACTGATGTTTTTATTAATGTTGTTTAATAAAAGATTTTAAATATTTTTGTCTATTATTATTATTTTTGTATTCAACCAGTCTGTCATAAATTAGTACATATTTAAACATGTTAAAAATTCAGGTTAAAATGTGGAATGTGCATTTCCCGTTATGTATGAGAAGGGGAATCCCGTCTCGATCTCTTCTCAAAATTTTATGAGAAATAAAAAATCCCGTCTCATCTCATCTCAAACTAAAAATCCAATCTCGTCCATCCCTAATATTTATGTTAATGTAAATGTGCAATTTGCGCATGAGCCCCCCCCTTAAACATTTTATCTGTTTGCACTAAATGATGATATTTTGTGGCAGATGATTGGCAGTGTTTGTGAGGCCTTGTTGGTGAGTTACGGTCGTGATGATGTCAATAAACCCATGATTGGTCCAGCAATCTTGACCTTCCTCAACACAGTATCGAGTTGCATCTGGACAACTACGTTGCTCATGACCTGTTATATCATCTCACACAACTCCTATGGCCTCATTAGATCATCTTTGCTGGTTAGATTACTTTTTACGATTTGAAAATATGTTATGTTTGATATAGGTATTCTAATAAATGTAATTAAAAATACCCCCGCCGCAGCAAACCTGCCGACTAAGCAAATTTCCATTTATCTGTGTTTTTAAGTCAAATATTAATAGCTTAGTATAAAATAAATAAATTTGCTAAGTTTGATAAAATTATATTCATAAACAAGCAAACTACAAAATTTTACAATATTCTCCATAAGAATAAGATAGAAATTTTAAATTTACAATTTTTTGAATTTTCTCCATTACTAATAACCATATTGTACAAAAATACTTTGATATGCTAAATTATTTTCCTACAGTTACCTAACAATGTACATGTTCTCTCACTGATTTGAGAAAGCAAAGTGGCCAATTCGCTCATCAGTGAGACAATGTTCACATTGTCTCACTCTAATTACTTTGTCTCACTCCAGATTTGCAACGTGAAGGCACGAAATAGTGAGCGCGTAACATGCAGGCAACGTCATATGCGCGCGAAATACGTTGGCAGCACTGGCTGTAAATCAGCTGGTCAGCTGTTGTACTATTGTATTTGTCACTTCACATTAAATGTTATATTAAAAGTTCACTTCTGTGTAAAAATAGGTTATGTTTCTTCACTAATTTATTTGTTTTATGGTAACTGTAGGAAAAGTATAATGTGCAACTCGAGTGCAAAGTACAATTGCCTCACTCGAGAAACCATTCCTCACTCGCCTACGGCTCGTGAGTAAGGATTTCTCTCGAGTGAGTCAATTGCTCACTTTTCTCACTAGTTGCACAAATAACTATTGTTTTTTAAGCTCTTTAAAAAGGTCTAGAGAGAAATTGGGAAATTTTGTGTTTTGAGGGTTAAAAATGAGAAAACCCATTTTTACCCTCAAATCAGCTTAATTTTTCCAACTTGTTCAGTTGAGCTAAAAATAACTACTAAAGACCCTCTTACTTTCAGGAACTGATGTTCAGCTTACTTGCTACACTGTCTCTGTGTAGTAGCTCAATCTATATGTGTGCTTCTGTGTCACTCATCCTCTATCCTCTTTATGAAACTACTAAAGTAGTAACCATGGGCTTGGCTGTCACTCACTACCCTGCCATCATGGCATCTTATGTAAGTATTTAAACACAAAAACTCAACTATTTCACAGTTAACTTAAAACACATTCTAATGTCACTTTTAACCAACTGGTTATTAAGTGAATTAATTATGCTTATTTGTATGGTATCTAAATCATGCCTTTGGCTAATTTTATAAACAAAATTTCATATTATTTTGGAAAAGGTTTCTAGTAGACAAAAATACAGTTGGAAGGTGGTACCAAAAATACCTTATTTGTGGTGCAACTCACTAAAAATCCACCTATCATCCCTATTGTCAACGTTCATCTTTTCAGTTGGCTTCTCCCACCAAGCTCTACCACAAACGGTTGAATTTCTTATAAGTGGCACACCCTTTGAGCTAGGTATACACAAACAAAACAATTAGGTGGCGTAGTCTCTGGATCACTATGATTATTACAGTTGTAAGTTATATTATCTTTTGTATCCCCAAGTGATGAAAACATGGAACACAGACGAAAAAATTTAAAAGATAGCATGGCCACAATCTAAGAACAAACACAAAAGTTCAATCATAATACTGGATCACGAGTCCTGCGTTGTGATGTATTGTAGTTGATCCCATCTATATCAGCTGTTCTTTTTACTTTCTTCCCCTATTACAATATATTAGCTTACCCCGTCGTCGGCTTTTTTGCTCACAAAATTTTTAGTTAATGGTATGTGACCCCTTAAGTTAAACCTCAGAGTAATAATACACATAAGTTTTAAGTATTTACTCTGAGGTTAAACTAAGACAGAACTTCTTCATTTACAAAACTGCTCTCTCTGTCACCACCTACATAATATTTTTTGCTAGAAAACAATTCCCGCTGTATCTCCTTTCACATGGGTTTACTTGCTTAAACCTAATTTTCCAATAGTACTGTCAGATCTCCCAAAACTGTATTGGAAAGTTTTATGTATCTTAAAGTAACATAAAAACCTTGCACGATATTTTATTGTAGTTCTAATATAACCGTCAAAGGCCCCAAACAGCTGTAGGTCTACAGTGTCTATGATGTTTTTACCAAGCAGAATGTACTCACATATAAGTGGCTTTTCTCACCTCTCCAGTAAAAGTAATTATTAACACTCAATATCAATCATACATTACTCAAAAAAATAAAAAGCTAATACTTTTAACATAATATGCCAAAAAGGTGAACTGGGATTGTAAAGGAACATAGGTACTCATCTGAAATTGCATGAGGTGCCGTTTTTATTATAGAAGGGAAAGGAAGTGATTAAACTTATCAAGCTTTTCTGATCTTTTCTATTGAGCACCAATTATAAAGTAGTGATAGAAGAAGGCTGATGTTATCCCTCAAAATATTAGATGAAACTTGATTGCATATAATCGTTCCTTTGACATTGATATTCTGAATAATACACTGTTATTTAGTTACTGAGGGTTGATCTTAAAACCATCAACAAATAGTGTACATATCATGATTTTTAAATCCATTTAACAATTACAAAATGTTTTACGCAATAAAACACCAATTTTCAAGCTATAAAATAATGTAAATATTTCCATTTTGATCAAACAACCAGCTGTTCTCTTAGTTAATAGTATAAAATAAAAATATATTCATCTTTTCAAATGTAAACAAACCTTTTCTCCCATAAGTATAACACGGGAACTTAAGAGGCCACTGGGTTCCTGATGGAATTTCTTGAAAACGCTTCTTATTGCACACCTAGAGCCTAATTAGAATTTCCATGCAAATTCCTGGAAGTATAGATGATTTTATAAGTAGTATAGATGGAGAAAGTATTGTTTTTGTCAAAATTTTTGAGTTTCAGTTTTGAGTGGATATATCCAATTTGGGCCCCCTGAGCCCAAAAAAGGGGTTTTGCAAAGTGATTTCTATGTGTGTAGGTGTGTGTGTATGTAGGTGTATGTGTGTGTATCTGTTAGTTATGTACAGATCTACAGACCACAACTGTAGTCTCAATTTTGATTAAATTTGGTATGTAGGTACTAACTAATCTATGGTATCTCCAGATGTTTTTTTTTCATTTTTTTGAAATGTTGATTTTTAATGATGATTTTTTTTAGAAATTACAGAAAAATTGGATTTGCTCAAATATGGTCTGAACGGTTTTGATAAAAATTTAGGATGTTATAGTCTTTTAAATTCTGAACATAATTGTACAAATCCTATTCCCGTAAAAATTACGGCTCAAAAGTTATTGTAACTTATGCTATTTTCCCATTACAAAAACCATAAAATAACAAGAAATCGGATTTTAGAAAAAAAGCAGATCGTGATTCAAATTACAGTAGACTCCCTCTTATTCGGACTCCTCGGGACAGTGGGAACGGTTTTTCTGGTTTAATCGACATCCCCAAAAACTCGTTAAAACGGACCGTTTAAATGCATACTGTATACAGTATTTGATTTAAATTTAGGAGAGCATTGTATTTAGACACGTTATCACTGGTCTCAAATCTTTCCCACGAGAACAGTCGTTTCAGTACCGCCCACTTTAGGCCGATCTAATCGCATCGGTTTAACCAGATTACTAATCTGGTTAAACCGATGCGCTGATAAAATTTTTTTTTAAAGAGATGTCATTTCCGCCGAGTATTAGTCGGGTTAAAAGATGTCCGGATAAGAGGGAGTCTACTGTAGTATGTTATGGTCCTTTAAATTCTAAATAAAATGGTAAAAATCCTACTCCTTTAAAAATTACGGTTCAAAACTGTTGTAGGTAAAAATTATAATTTAATGAATGTAAGTATATAACACATCATCATAAATAATCAGAACCTTAGTATTTAAAAATACTTAATAATCAATTTAATTCATAGAAAATAAACAAAATATTGTCTTTTTCAGATGCTTGGATTTATTCTTACAGCCTTGTACGGTCTAGATGCATACCATGCTTACTGCCATTTTAAGGGATATGCATGATTTTAGGTGATGTAACAATTTTTTATAAAATCTTTTTTTATAAAAGTATAAAAACAAAGATAAAAAGTTTTTATTGTTCCTTTTACTTGTGTCAAGCTAGATTTAGTTGGATTTGTTGAAATGGGACTACAGTAACAATGTTCTGGTGAATTTTCCTTCTGAGAAGGTAGCTGCTGCTGTGGTGTCCACGGTAAGACCTAGGACTAGGAGCCTCCAGAGTTTAGAATCATCATTGATTTCAGTTGCCATCGTTATATATAAAAATATTTGTGTCTATGAACATGATAAGGTTGTGAAAAAGTTTTGGTTTTGTTGAAATTAGGATTAAAAGTTTAACAGCACCTGTTCAAATGGGTTTGTGACCCAGTCCAATCTCCATCTTGTAGACAAAATTGTCACGATTCTTTTAAAATTTGAAATAGCTGCAACTTTAAACTGGGTTAAGACAAAGGCCAGTAATTAGTTTTATCCTTTATTTTTTTTTTAAGATCTTAAGAACACTTACGTATCACTTCTGGCTTGTCTGCTTAAAAAAATTTGCAGCCGAGTCTAAAACACTGCAATTTGGGACAAAGGGTTAATTTAAGTAAATTTATATTGATTAACCCCTTAACCACCATTACTACAGTACATAAGTACATAAGTTGGCGCGCCGCTGTTTCGATGCGATCAGTGGCGCATGGTTTAATTACGCTCGCCGATGACCCAGCACGGGGTTTTTGCAATTTGTTGTGGTTTTTAAACATTTTGAGGAAACCTAGTTTACAACACATTTTAAAGCAATTAACTATGATAAATGTTATAATAAACATTGTAATAGTATCTATATATTAATATACGCAAGCAGGTTTCTTTTCACAGTCATAACTCGATAACGGTTTGACGGATTTTAACGTTTGAGGTGTCAAATTAAAGGTATTTTCACATAGATTATAAACACAGATTAAAGGTATTTTCACACAGAATATTAAGAAAGGGCATCACTTAAGTACAGTTAAGGGCTAAAGTTTGGAAGGTGGCGCTTTCTGTTGACATTTGATCAAACTCATTTCCTTTTGTTTACAAATAACATATGGACGTAGTTTAGTTTAAAATAGTTTTTTAGGTTAACCACAGACTGCAGGACTTAAAACTTCCAGAGAAAAGCTGGGATTTATATTTTGTTTCAATCTGTTAACTAAGTCTGGTTCTGGTTCATAATGAAGAGTTTAAGAATAAATATTTAATAAATATTTTATTATTTTTTTCTATGGTTAAATTTATTCACCTTACATCGTATTTTACTGATTATCATGTTACAGTTCGATGTGATGAAGTGAATGTTTAAAAATGATTATTCGCAGGGCAGTTATCCATTACATTACCATATTATCACGTAATTTACAATGTGTATCAAAATTCCAATTGCTTTATAGTGTTTTCTGTTGATTTGTTAACTTCCTTATTTCATTTAAATTTAAAATCAAATGCCGCCAGTACGACGAAGAACTGTGAGTGGCTGGGGAGAACGCGAACATGACCGCTTTCATCAACCTCTTAATTGAACATTTGGTGGCTACATAGTGGTAGTACCACCGTTGTGATAGTCTAATCTCGGACAAATGAACGTTAAATGTTTACATTGAAGTAGCTTACATATTTTTAAGCAAGAAAAGACTGGCCGAGACAGTTAAGTTTTTACTCTTTGTTGTCATCAATGAAAGGTTCGTTTACCTTATTTGTGCAATTCACAATACCTTCAGGATCTTATTGGAAAGTCCCAATCTGAAAATAGGGCTGTGAGACTTATATATAGAAGTTATTTGGATAAAGTTTGTCAATTCAATTCTGCCTTTACCATGGTCAGCTCCGAAGCTCATTAAGACGAGAAAGTTCCACAGGGGATCTACAATTTTATGATCCGTGACACGTTTTACCACCGAGTGGGTCCTCTAATTCCTCAATAAGGTGATGATCCTGAATACGCACAGATATCTAAGTAAGTACAAAAACGTCACTAGAACCCAAAAGAGAATTAAGCACAATTCAAACAAAAAATGCAATGAAAAAATATGCGGGAAATAGGGTCACAATGCCGACCCATTTGCAAATCTTTGAAGACTGGCAGACATTATGTAGGGACGAGAGCTCCGAGGAGTCAAGTGAGATTCTTATGTACATAATAAGAGACAGAAGACGTGTCTTCCCTCGCTACAATGGTGCTACATGTGTAGATGTTGCAGCAATTTTTAAAGCTGAAAACAAAGCACCACCTGGCCAAATAAATCGTATAGTTTTTCCAACACTAATAATGTTAAACGCGTATCCATTCTAGATCTGTCGTTGGATCCACTTGCTTACCCTCTTATGTTCCCAACCGGAGACTTGGGTCGGGAACCCTAATTTAAACACGCCTAAAACAGAACACATACAAGAAATAATTTAACAATGCTAGAATAAGAGTAGCGATGGTTGGCGTCAAGAGAGGAATTGAGCTACATTAGGTCAAAAGCTCACTTTACAGTGTGTGGTTGACATCTACGTGCTCATAGAGTGCACCCGCCTACTATACATAAGAGATAACCAAAGCAGTATGATAGTGAATGTAAATTTAAATATTTTAGATTACTTTTATATTTTTTACATCATAATATTTTTATATTTCTATAATCGGTCATATACATTATTTTAGAGCAACTCTTTTGATTAAGGTCTTGCTGTTTATGTTTTTTGTTTTTTTTACATACAAGTTTCAGTTTTGCTCGATTTCGAGCAACGTGTTATCTAGTTCATGTTAACGTAAATGATAATTAAATTTTTTTAATTTGCTAAATAATTAATAATAATAGGCTAATAAATAAATAATAAAATATTGTATTGATCATATTTACTTACGGCATTGCATATTAGCCAAAGCTTACAGGTTTTATTTTGTTGTCTGGTCACATGAGTCGATGTTTCAAGTAATAAATATTGAAGGAAAAAACACCATGTACAAAGGTTACTTTTCACTTTTTAGACATTATCATTTTCAAGATGAGCTCGTTCGCATCGCTCAATCACGTCCTGGTTGAAGTTTGTTTGCTACGCTTACTCACCTTTAGGTTGGAGCTCGTTCACTGCGCTCACTTGCCTTCAGGTTTAACTCGTTCGTAACGCTAAGTCGCCTCCAGGTTGAAGTTTGTTTGCTACGCTCACTCACCTTTTAATTGCAAATTAGCTGTTGTCATAAATTTAAAAAAATAATAGTGATGCACCCTGTTGGTAAACCTATTAACTTTTTAATGCTATTTGAACATCACAGAATCAAATTGTTTAGTTGAACCAGCTGTTAAGATTCTTTAATTCCATTTAAATATAAGTACTCATAAGGTTAACATGGGAAACTTCAGAGCCACGGGGGTGAAGCCCTTTTTGGAGACGGATCTGCTCCAAACATCACACAAACCATCCTTGAATAATGCTTAATAATACCTGAAAGTTTCATTACAATCTCTCGAGCGGTTTCGGAGTCCATAACGTTCAAATATATATATAAATATACAAACTTCCTCTTTTATAAATATAGATGCAGGGTATGATATTCCCTGAAGCACGGCACTACGCACAAGGAAACCGCGCAGTCCTGGCACTGATACCTTGAATCCCGCCTGGCCGGTTCATTGCATGGACTGCAAACATAGAATTGATGTGAGGGATACTCTTTTTTCTGTTGAAGGAATACATGATGGAAAATGATGCTGTGTCAATCTCAGTGGTGTATCACTGGGAGAAGGACGAGCACCGTTTTTTTACTGTGGGTCTGAGCTGCCATGTTTTCCTCTAAAAGTTGGCGAACTAGCTCTAAATGAAATTCTGCCAGTGTTGGTTTCTTGCCACTTACACATAGGTAGGCCTATATTGCATGAGAATTGAGTATTGCCAGATCCTTAAAATGTAAAAATAGTTTTTATACCACTTTTGGGTGCACCCAACACATGTAACATTGCTTAGCATCATATCGGTGTGATCTACAGAGGCCCATGCTATAGTTATATTCTTGTACACATTTTGGCTTCATAACCTTTTCTTTTGTTATGTAGTTAACTTTTCCGGAGTCAGCTACTTTTTCATAATGTTCTATTGTGATCATCATAAATTCTCTTTTATCTGCACACCTTACAACCATGCTTGTGCATTATAACTTCATTAACAACCTCCCGTTCGCCAGCTAGTAACTCTTTCTGAAATTCAGGCATACCTATTCTCTCCCATCTTACTGTACCACAAGCATTGGTTTTGTTCAAATGAAAAAAAACATTAAAAGATCAGGACTACTATACCAATTATCAATGTACAAACAATCATCTCATCACAACAAAAACAACTATTTTTTTGAATCATCATACATTGAGATTTTTACTAAAAAAATTATTGATGAGCGGAGCGAGCAAAGCTCTTATACGCCGACTCTTGTGCATTTCGTAATACGCAAACTCCTCCTAGACGGCTGAATCAATCTTTTACAAATGTTGCATGGTGATAAACACGATATTGGTGAATGCCAAAATCTATATGGCGTTAAAAAAGTCTCTCAGGAATCTGCCCCACTGGGTCTCAAAGTTTCAATGTAATCCTGATGGAAGCAGTATTTGAGTATTTTAGTGCACATAAACAAAGACATATGAGCTGTTGACTTTTGAATGCAGTAGATAAAGAAATAGCTGATAGCATTATTCCACAGATATTAGAACAGAAACGGTATGGATCATAAATATAATCAAATGACGACACTAGCTAGAGGTCCGTGACATAGGTGAAGGAGGTAGTAAAGGTGAGCAGTCTGGAGTTTGGAAACTGTTTATGACGATTAGATTTAGGTAGGTATCTGCATTCCTAAATTTCTATGGGAAGGGAGAAAAACGGGTCCCCGACGTAGGAAGTAGTCAAGGCGAGCTGTCCGGAGTTTAGGAACTGTTTATAACGATTAGATTAAGGTATCTGCAATCCTAAAATGCTATGGAAAGGGAGGGAAACAGGTCCGTGACGTAGGGAAGTGGTGAAGGAAGTAGTAAATGCG